ACCGCATCTTTATCTCATAACTCCTAAAATTCAGAGGAACTCTCGAACTGTGGGTTTCACAAAACGAGTGCTTGAAAACTCAAAAGACTCTTACATTCTTCTTGACCATACTGATTTCTACACCTCCAAAAATTAGATGTACTTATTCGCAATACAAAACAATCTTATCTTTTTACAGATATCACTACTGTTAAATACGCACAAATTATCCTATTTCTAAAATTACCAATATGTTTTTTGCAGGGAAAAGCAAAATGTTATCTGTGCGAAATTCTAAAGCTCAAACTTGTTACAGATATTTGATAGCAACGCGTTGCAAATGGAAAAAAAAAAACTGAGTGAGATTCTCCTAAAAATTCACCTCAGATTTGAAGTTTAAAAAAAGAAGGACGCAAGAAGCCAAGTAACACTCTCAAAAAACTTTGCGAAAAGATCAAATCATCGTTTTCGAGCGAAAAAGATTGAAACAAAATCTTAAACAATATTCACTTAACGACGCTACAATTGTCCTTCAGGCTTCAATAGCAGTAGATGAGCAAATTTAACTATTCAGCTTGAAGATCACCTCTCGTTCTCCAGTTGTCGAAAATCTTGCGAACAGTCCAACAACTGATATGGCACACATCACATAACTTGGAAAAGTCAGCGTAACCATGTAGAATAACGGTCTCCTTTTCACAGAGACATCGTAACGTAGTTCCGACACCTTAACAAGGAAAAAGCTAGCTTTGCTGAATGCTACAACGCGTTCTTTGGGGAAAACATACATTGATGCCTTCATGCTCGTACTCATCTTCGACCACGGACACCTTCAACAATCGCCATTCTTCATTGTCAGTGTAGTGTTCCAAAGAATGCTCAGTATGCGCATGTAGACGAATTTTATCTTTTCCGTAGGTCCAACTTGCAATCTGCATTTGAGAAAACATATTCTTGTAATTGCTGTCATTAATCATTAAAATTCTATCATTAGCTAATATTTTTACCCAAAAAATGACACTTTTTGTTTTTTGTAAGACTTTTCTGCATCCTTCAGAAAATCGCTTATAATCTCTCCATGATGACAACACTAACCTCAAGAGCGCATCGCTGATCATCAAGCGGGAAG